CAGTGTCACTGGCCCTCATATGTGGGATCCGAACCGGGGCCCTCTGGCATCCCAAGCGAGTTCTTAACCATCGCGCCCCTCGGCCGGCCCTGGACTTGTTTACTTCTTAGGTGACAACCAGAAGTTGTTTTGGTGAACGTGTTTATCACTCAATTTTGTTATGCTCAGCTTCACACAAAAACATGTTTTCCACTTCACCCTTATCAGTCTCACACATGTGCGGCCTAGCATGTGTCCCTACTAGTAAACAACTCGTTTTGCAAACCTCTTCCAACATGTATAATATATTTTGTATGCTCCACACAGGCTGGAATAAAGTTGACACAAGATTAACAGAAAAAAATATGTGGACTCGGGAGATCATAAATGATGCTCAAAGAAATGATGAGCCAGCCAGCTTTTTATACTTTTTAGACAAAGAAACAATAAATTTGTAAAGAATTGACAGGACAAAGAAACAGTTTGAGTGCTCATTAGGAGGAATCTAAGCAAAGTTTGAGTTTAGGCAGTAAATTAGCAACAAGTAACAAAGTTTGGTTATACAGGGTTTTCAGCCTTGGATTTCTTTAGCTGAAAGGGGGTGTCTCTCTTAGCTCTCCTGGAACAAGGAGTTCACCTTTCACAGGGGAGGTTTATGTTCTGTATTCAAGGAGACAAGGGCAAGTCAACACGCCCTTCTTGCACCTCCTACATGTCAAGTAACTTTAATTCAAAGGAATCAATATGCCATTGTGGGATATTTTGAGGTGGATTGCCCTGGGCCCTGACATAAGTATTCATCAGAAACGGGCAGAAGAGTAGGTTTAGAAAGATAAGAAGTTCTTTTCTGTATGTGTTAGGAGTGAGAGGGCAATAGAATACTATTCGCATTGGGGCATGATTGCAAAAGTAATGTATGCGCATTGTAATACAACGCAAGTTGGTGTTTCCATCTTAAAAATTCCCCTCACTCTCCATCAACAAATGCACTGTTTCTAGGTTAAGACTGGTCATAGTAGCTTGGTGTTTATCTCTTCAGAACTTTCATGTTTCTATGAACATTTAATCATATGTATGATTAAATGATTACAATATATATGTATAAAATGATTACATTATATATGTATACAGGTATAGTACTATGTAGGTATAGTGTTATATGCTGGGGGTGCCAAAAAGTATATACCCATTTTAAGAGATTTTATCTATGCCCAAGCAGTAGTTCGCCATAATCAGAAGTGTCTGGACACTGATGGTAACCACTTTGAGCACCTCTTGTAATTGTATTGTAGAAGTCAAATGTGACTTGTATTCATCTTTTGTTATTCGTATATATTATTACAATTAATAGTTTTTTTCTTTCTCAAAATGTGTATACATTTTTTTGCACCCTCTGTATATATGTTTTATATATATATATAGTAATACATATATTTCTAAAAAAGAAACATGCATATCCTTCAATCATTTATTGCTTATGTATTATTGCATGGTATAGATGTATCATAATTTAGCTGTCTTCTTTTTGATAAACATTTAGGTTGTTGACAAGAAAGTCTGCATTCAAAATAAGCATCAGCTACTGGGATGCTAGTCATGGTGCACTGAAGTCAGCTGGTGAGTAAAAAATAAGTCCATTTCAAATTTCCATTTTGAAAATTTTGCTTAAATTTGTTTAAAATATTTGTTCCCATGATAATACTAGCATAAATGGCAAAGATGAGAGTAAATAATCTCGGGTTCTGATAGTAAAAGTGAAAATCTGCTGAGAAGGAATTTGGTAATGTGTATCAAGAGTTTTTAAATGATTTATCTCCTTTGATCCAGTAATTCCACTGCTAGGGATTAATTTCAAAGTAATAATCAACACTGTAGAAAAAGATTTATGGATATGGATATTTAATAGTCTTATTTATAATAGGAAAAACATGGAAACAAATACTGGTGATTAAATAAATTATGTCACATTAATATGACTGAATTGGGGTTTGCAGCCAATTTAACCGTTTTCAAAGATTTAGCTAAATGAAAAATGCTTACAATATAATGTCAGATGAAAAAAGCTGGTGTTATCTCTTGAAATGTTTTCTTAGTATTTTTCAGTTTTTCATAAGAAACATTTTTACATAAAGAATAAATATTACTATGATAATTTGTGCTGGAAGAGATAACGGGTGTTTATGAAGGAAGGGTATGTTTTATTTCCTTCCTGTTGACATAGCTTATGGAAGTTGGTAAGGTATCTAGGGTGTCTAGATTGGGGAGCATCATTTTGTTTCAATTTTGTGGTGAGAAGGGACAGAGTCTACTGGATATACTCCCCAGGGGTGGGAGGTCTCACTCTGGGTAAGAGGATGAAGGACTCATTAGAGGACTATAATGCATAGGTGAGGTTTGCTGATTTGGGGTTTCTCATGCATTTTCAAATACAATGCGCATCTTCCTTTTATCTCCATGACAGCATTCCTCCTAAAAGGGAGACAGATAGAGGACAAAGCCACAATCTACCAATTTGAAAACATTTTATAGATGTGTAATCTAGATGAAAGCACATTTTGGAAAATCGCTCTTTAAACCTCAAAATTTTGAAACTTAAAGGCAAATAGGAGAGAAGCTATTTTACTTTGAAGTTGTAGAGTAAAAGTGGGTAGAAATCTCAGAATTCTAACAGTTAAGAAATAATGAGGGAGTACAAAATTTTATTTTATTTCAAACATAAATTCTAACTATTACCTATATCATAATTCTTGGTATTAAAAATTTTTTTAATTTAAAAAAGCTTAGAGAGAAAATACTGATCTGTAATTCAAATGAAACGCCCATAGTTTATTCCTTTGGATGATGCAATGAAGACCCCTACCATTACTTGATGGAAGCTTTCTCACATACTAGTGTTACGTTTTATGGTAGTTAAAAAGGTCGAAGTTGAATAAGAAAACCTCAAGTGTAAGATGGCTGACTGTAGTATACTGGTTTCCTAATTTCCAAATATTCATCTCTGGTTTTATGCATCCTAACCTTCTCTCCTCCCCCCCCCCCCAATCTTTCTCTTTCCTTTCTTTTCCTCTCCCCCCCTCCTTCTCTTCCTTTTTTTTTTTTTTAAAACATTGCCCCTTCCTCACCCAAACTATGTGATTTTAGTGGAGGCTGAAAATCATAACATCTCAGTCTCAGTCTTGGGGTATAGGAATCACAGACGTTTCCAAACACCTCTTGAATTGAAGGAAGGCAGGAAACATTTTTGCTTTCTGGTCATTAGCAGGAAGGGTATATAAGTTTGGAGTTGCTTCTGACTATATTCACAGGCTTGTAGAAAAAACAAAAAACAAAAAAACTTATATCTAATAGGGAAGAATAGGCCCAAACACAGAGAAAAGCAGAGGTGAGTAACACACACACACACACACACACACACACACACACACACGCGCACACAGGAGGGTAGGAAGGGGAGGGAGAGAGAGAGAGAAAAGGAGGGAAAATCTTGCCACTCTTTTCCTTTCTGCAGTTGTATTACTTTTCCCTTTCTACGTAAGCTAATTTGGGCTAGATTTTTGTCACTTGTAAAGAGTTCTGACTATTTCAATGGCCATATTGGATTAACAGTCAGAATTAGACACAGTGATAGGTATATGGAGTTTCCTTGGACATACTATCTTTACTTTTAATTCAACTCCAAAGTAAATATGAGTATTTAAGGAGTAAACAGTAGGCATTTTACAAAAGAAATGCCAAACTTCAGTTTCTTTGAAACTTTTTAGCTTTGGGGAAGAGCTGGAGATGATTAGGACAGGGAGTGTGACTTATAAATAAGAAATGAAAAAGGAACGGTGATACCCTTCTACAACACAAAAGCTGTGTCTTGAAAAGGAATAAAGGAAATTAATTTGGAATCCCAGGCATCCCACTTTTCATCTGCTCTCAGAAATGGAAATGTGATTGAATACATTATATAGTGATAATACAGAATTTGCCCTTTTCAGATTTCAAGAAAGATGTGCCTATGAATAGATTTCTTGCCTATCAGTTCAGATAAAGAAAATCTCTCTGTCATATTCCTCATGTCAGGGAGAGGCCATAGATTCTGTGGGATACCGCTTTGCTTCTCTCTACAAACATCTGTCAAGTTTTTTTTGTTTTATTTTTATCTTTCCCACCACAGCCACGTCGTTATCCAAACAGACTATCATCATCTTGGTATCAGGTAGATTTCTGTATTTTCAAAACATATTGAACATATTTGAGATAACTATGTCCCACATCAAAATCTAAGTGCTATCAGTTTTAAAGTTCAACAATTTGTCTTTGGACAATCAAGTGGTGGTTCCTGGGGTACTCAGTGGAATTCTGAATTCCTGCAATAATCAGCTTTTCAGTTTCTAGTTTGAGAACGTGGTCTCGTCTTCCTTTGACTAATACTGGGGGTGTCAATAAAATGTATACACATGACTTATATTTGTCTTTTGTTATCAGTGTATATTGAGCATTATAATTTTAATATAGTTTTTGCCTTTCTTAAAATAGGTATACGTTTTATTGGCACCCTCTGTATTCATGTGGAATTTTGACAACTGACTCATCACCTGGAGATGCACCAAATATTGCCTCCTATGTGTGTCTGCTATAGAATGTGGGCAGTGCAATATTTATTGGCTGAATGAATTTGTCAGATTTTACAAAGAGGAAACCACAGATGTTATTTTAGAGCAAAGACATCTATAATCTTACCCTAATTCTTTAATTTATACACTGTTTCTCTTCTTATGTGAAAGTAGATTGGTGAGAAATTAATACAGTAAAACCTTGGATTGCAAGTAACGTGGTTTGCGAATGTTCTGCAAGACGAGCAAACGTTTCCAGTACATTTTAATGTGGTAAACAAGCGATGTCTTGCAATATGAGTAGTTTGTTTCCAGAATGAATTATGCTGACAAACCAAGGAATTACTGTATAATGATAGGTTATATTGTTATTCTTCATAAAGATTTTTTTTTTCCAATATGGATACTTCCTAAGTGACTGTGTAGAGAAGAAGTCTTTAAATAACCTAACAGTGTCAATTAGGCATTGGCAGCCTTTCAAAGCCATGGGTAGCTTTTCTCCCCCTAGTGTCTATCAATGTTTGGTGTTGGCAGAGAGAGAGTTGCCTTGAAAAGATGTAGTGGGTCAGGATTACTTTGTCCTTCCACATTCCTGAGATGAGGGGAACGGCAGCTGTAGGTGACATCACAGGAAGAAAAACGACTTTTAGAAAAAAATATTCTCTCAGGCTCTGCGACAGTGGGAGGGACCAGGAACACTGTGGAGCCACTGGGTCTGTGCCTCACTGCAGACAGAGCAGTTGTGCTTTGTGGGCTCTCTTAAGCTGCTTTTGGCTGACCTTGACATAGATCAGTGATTCTCTCTATACATTTTTTAAGCAGCTTTATTGAAGTATAATCGATATATGGTAAGCTACATGTAAAGTGTACCATTTGATGAGCATATACCAGTGAAGCCATCACCACAATCAAGATAATAAAAACATAACCACTAAAGGTGTCCTCATGCAACTTTGAAGTCCCTTTTACTAGCTCCTATCTGTTTTTCTCCACTTCCATTCCTAGGCAACCATTGATCTGTTTCTATAAGATTAGTTTTCATTTAATAGGATTTTATGTAAATGGAATCATAGCCTTTTTTTGGTCTTTCTTTCATTTAGTGTAATTGTTTTAAGAGTCATGCATATTTTAGCATGTATCAATAGTTTATTCATTTTCATTGCTGACTAGTATTCCTTGGCATGTATATACCACAGTTTGTGTATCCATTCACCTGTTGATGGGCATTTAGGTTGTTTTCAACTTGGGGCTATTACAGATAAGACTGCTGTGAGCATTTGTGTACCAGCCCTTGTATGGACATATACTTTCATTTCTCTTAGGTAAATACCTAGGAGTGATTGGGTCGTATGATAGGTCATTTTTAACTTTTTGAGAAACTGCCAAACTATTTTTCAAAGTGGTGTACCACTTTGCATCCCACCAACAGGGTATGAGAGTTCTATTTCCATTACATCCTAGCCAACTGTTAGGATAATTTTCTTTATAATTTAAACATAGGTGTGAAGTGATATCTCATTGTAGTTTTAATTGCATTTTCTTAAATCTCTGACTATAATTTGTAGATTAATGTCTCCTTTCAGTTTTTGCTTCATATATTTTGAAGCTCTGTTTTTGCATGCATATAGGATTGTTATGTCCTCTTTGTGAATTAACCTGTTTATCATTATCAAAGGTCCTTCTTTACCCTTGATAATATTCTTTATTGTGAAATCTCCTTTGTCTGATATAACACAGCCACTCCAGCTTTCCTTTGAATAGTGTTAGCATGTTATATCATCTCCCCTTCCTTTACTTTAGTCTATTATTGTCATTATAGTTAAAGTGTGCTCCTTTTGGCAGCATATAGTTGGACCTTGCTTTTTTTTTTTAGTCCAATCTAATCATATGTACATTTTAACTGAGGTATTTAGACCATTTACGTTATTGTGTTAATATGTTAGGTATAAACCATCTTGTTCTTTGTTGTCTCATATATTCTGTTTACCTTTTTCCTCTTTTTATGTCTTCCTTTGG